AAAGAAAGAAAGAAAGAAAGAAAGAAAGAAAGAAAGAAAGAAAGAAAGAAAGAAAGAAAGAAAGAAAGAAGAGGGAAGGAAAAAGAAGGGAGGGAGGGAGAGAGGGAAGGAAGGAAGGGAGATTATAATGAGGGTCTGGTAAATCCTGCCTTAGCACTTGGCCACCTGCAGCCCTGCTGCCTTTTGCCATCCCCTTGTCCCCTCCTCCTGACCTCTCCTGGTGGTCTCCCATCCTATCACTAAGGATGCTTTGGTTACAAAGCCAGGTCTCCTCGTAAGGAGATGAAGTGGGCCTCCCTCTGACCCACACACGTTGCGCACACCATGAGCAACTTGGCCAAGGAGAGTGAGCACAGCAGCAGTGAAATCTGGCCACACCCACTATGGCCATACTCACCATGGCCACACCCACCCCAGCCAAGCCAACCCCGGCCCCTCAAAGTCAATCACAATCTTGATGCGGCCCTCAATGAAATTAAGATTGACACCCCTGCTCTATATGATGCCTACGTTTGCATACTTCCTGTTTTCCTGTTTCAATCACTATAAGAAAGCTCTTTGAAAGTCTGCATCTATTTTGTCATACACTTATTTGTTTATTCTATCTCTGTATCATATGAAGAGTTTATATATATATACCCTAATAGATGCTATTTTTGTATGGGGATTTTGAATTCTGTCTTGTTTTTCTAAATCTTCCTTCTTTTTTGATATTTGATTTTATCCTTCCAGCTATGTGTAAGTATATCAATCATGATATATCCTACTCTTCACTAAATAGTTCTCATGCTTTTAATTTGCTCATAAAGTTTGAGTGAACCAGATTTATATTTTTCTAATTTTAATTGTTTCCATCATAAAAATATTTGAGAGAGAAACTATAGCAAACCACACAGCAGAGTAAATACAACCACTTAAAAGGTGTTGTTTTTAAGAGATCCTGAATGTTTACAAACATTGCAAATGAGCAAATATATAAAAATTGGGAAGTAAATAATTGATAATTTTTATTGTTCTTACTTCCTTTTTAATACAATGTATCAAGATTTATAACATTGCTTTAAAAAGAAAAATGTTTAAATATTATTGTTAAAACAGTAATATTGTGCTTATCCAGAATGTCTTAGTTATATCCAATAAAATGACTTTCTTAAAATCATCTATTGAGTTCCCACTGAAAGAAAGAGAAAAAAGTTGCAATTTCCATAGAATTTCCATGTAATGATCTCCAAATTTATTTATTTTTAAATTTGATTTTTTTTCATGTTGAGTGTCATGAATTTTGTCATGTTTAGTGTATTATTTCACAAACATTGCTACCATTCATTCTTAAACCTTGACTCCTATATAAAATACATATTCTTGATGTGAATAACAAAAATACAGGGTGGGCTGCTACCGGTTATCCCCGTTTCGGGCAAATCCATAGCTAATTTTATCGCCATTTTATGGCTAGTCCAGTGAACTGGCAAATCCCACCCCTGGCTGGCGCCACCCACCCGCCCTGCCTCTCCCAGCAGTCTCCACGTATCCCGTTTTGGATGCCAGGTAAGTGCAGGGCCCTTGCAGAAGCTCGGGGAGGGTGAAAAACGGGCCTCCTGGAGGCTCTGGAAGGCCGTAAACGGGCCCATTTCTGACCTCCAGAGAGCCTCCAGAGCCCGGGGAGACCATTTTCATCCTTTCAGCGGCTCAAAGAAAGCCTCTGGAGCCCAGGGAGGGCAAAAAGCAGGCCTCCTGGAAGTTCCGGAAGGCCAGAAATGGACCTGTTTCTGGCCTCCAGAGGGCCTCTGGAGCCCGGAGAGGCTGTTTTCGCCCTTCCGGAGGCTCAAGCAAAGCCTCCGGAGCCCAGGGAGGATGAAAATCCACCCCACCATGATGCAGGAGGCCGAGTAGGCCATGCTCGCCCAGCAACTGGGCAGAAAATTAGTTGCTAAAATTTTTAAAGCCCACCCCTGCAAAAATAGTATATACGACAAATTGTATTAACTATCAAATAACAATATTGAGTAAATAACCAACCTTTATGGGAATATTAAGCCTTAATTATATACAATTAATGTCATTTTTTCTGAGTTTAGTTATATATAACTAACATGTTATTTTTGCTTTGTTATATTTACACATTAAATATTCCTCAATTACCAAATACTTTGCTGAGAACCAGACTCTATGTCACCAGATTTTTATTAGTGCTACTGTTTGATCGGCCAAGGCAATGTTTTATTAGCATCAGGCTTGGAAAAACTGAGCTCTTATTAAGTCATCTTTTTAAAACTATCACTTCTTCTGCCAGCCATATCCTTGAAGACATATTGTAAAGTAGAGATTTCTAGTGTAATTATTATTATTAAATGCTATTCTGTGTGTGTGTATATGTGTGCGTGTGAATGTGTTGCGGGGGGGGGGGGGGGGAGACAGACAGACAGACTACTCAACACAGAAAACATACCTAACATTTTAGCTTCTTTTTTTTTCTGCATTACAGCGCTCTGAGGTGGGTTGGGCTGAGAGAGAGAGAAAAACACTGGCCCAAAGTCACCCAGGCAATTTTCATGTTTCAGGGAGGCATAGTACTCTCAGTGTCCTGGTTTCTGGCCCAGCACCTTAACCACCACAGTAAACTGGATGTTTAAATTATTTTAAAACCATTAAATAAAATAAGTTATTTTTTTATTTAAGTACACATCTTTAATTAATTTAATGCAATTAAAGCAACAGAAGAAGTATGAAAAATTGGGGCTTTGTAATTTCTTTAATCAATCTATAGAAGAATTCATTTACAGAAGGATTATTGTAATTCCCTCAATTATATTGTTTCATACAGTTTCAGAAAAAGCAAATCAGATATCATGTACCAAGTTTAAAAACAATATATATTCAGAGGGATCTAAATCATGTTAAAGAAACGGCCATAAACTCCTTCCCTCTTCAATGAAATATAATATAAAACTGTTTATTCAAGCAATTTCAATGTTCTTAATTGACTGTTGCATTCAATATCTTTTTCAGCTGTATCTTTGGTTTATTAATAAGCTGATGATTTAAGAACTGAGACAATTGGGAAGGTAGACTTTAGTAATGCCATTTATTAGATACACCAGACTACTAGTATACTTTGGTACAGTGGTTAGGATGCTAATTTAACTATTCAACAGCTACTCAAGAGGAAGATTCAGGATGTGTCCCACGATAAAATTCAGTTCACTTCTGGAAATGCAATCACAAAAAAGAAGTATAAATTGACAGTTTACTGTTCATTCAAAACGAAGTATGACATAAGGATATTAACTCTTAAATTAATATACAAGTTAAATTAAGTGGAATGTGACCAGTAATCTAGTCAAAAGTTTTGAGACTTTCCAAGCAGTAGTAGAAGAGAAAACCACATAGTTCCTGGCTGGCCAGGCAGGTTGCTTTAAACTTAGAATCTATCAATGAATCAGAAAAATGATATACCCTAGACCAGGGGTGTCAAACTCAATTTCTTTGAGGGTCACATGAGGGTTATGTTTGACCTTGGGGGTAGGGGGTTGTGGCCTGGGTGGCCAACACAACGTCACTCATCGAGGCTCCATTTTCGACCACAAGGGCCTCCTGCAGCCCTTTGCCAGGGAAAACAGAGCTTGGGGAGGCTGCGCACGGCCCTCCCGAGCTCCATTTTCGTTGGCAGAAACACCACGGCCCAACTAAGCAACCCATGAGCCGGATCCAGCCTGTGGGCCTTGAGTTTGACACCCTTGCCCTAGACTGTGACTTTCACTGTGCCATTCACTACAGTTCCAGGATTTCTTTCCTGATCAGCCACATGATTCAGACCAATTAGTGTACACATTTTTTTTAGTCTTATTGGATTTTTATTTTTAAATATACATCAATATCAATACATGAATCGTGTAGCCTCTGAGTACGATTCATTTTGATGCAAACAGCAATAATAATAATAATAATAATAATAATAATAATAATAATAATAATAATATCCTAGTATTGATATACATGGTTGATCTAGAGTAGTTATTCAATATTTCAATGTTCCATTTTAATGCCAATGATATTATAAGGATACATAGTAATACCATCTTTCAACCTCTAATCTGTCCATCTAATTATTACTTATATTCTATTATATAAAAATTATATCCGTTAATATTTCCTCTATTTCTTATTTCTACCTCTATTCTAGTTTCAGGTCACCATTACTAATCCTAGTGTTAATACACATATTTATAGTAAGACGTAGTCCTTCATTATTTGGTTGTTCAAAGTCACAATACGCCATTCAAATACCAGTCATCCTATTATTTAAACATACCTAATAATACCATCTTTCAACCTCCAATCTTTCCATCTAACTATTTCTTCATATAAAGGTATGTATACTTATTTCTACCTCTATTCTAGTTTTTGATCAGGCCATCAATATATTAGAAAAAAATAAAAAATTCCATTCTATCCATCATCTCTTGATCGTTTTAATACTTTAATGCTTATTCATTTTTTGCCTTGTCTCCCATACTCCTCTCTAGGGTCTTTGTCTCTATCAGCATCTGTGTCTTTACCATTCAGATGAAATATTTCTCCTATCTCTATTCTCCTAGGTTGCCAGGTCTCCAGAGTATCCACACAAACCCCTATCTCCCTTTCAAAAGTATCTTCCAGGTTATCCAATTCCATTTTTAAATCTCTTAAAGTACATTTCTCATAAATCATTATTATCTTTATTGTCTTTTACTTTTCATCTTCTTGCTTTGTTTGCTGGTTTGTCTGCTCTATCTTTTCTTCCATTCTTTCTGCTGTATCCTCTTTTTCCTGGATTCTTTGATCTTCATTCATTATCAATTGTAGCATATTTTCTATTTTCCCATTTATGCTTTGCATTAGGTTCTTTATATCTCTGTGATTCTTTGTCATAGTATCCCTAATGCTTTGAAACATCAATGCATTTCTCTTGAAATCTCACTCATTTCTGCCTGATGGAGCATTTTGTCTTAGTTTAATAAGTCCTGGTCTTACTCAAGTCCCAAAACAATATATTCCAGTCCAATGTTGCTCCTTAGAAAGTTCAATGATCTTATTTCTTTACATCTCAGGATTATTAATCAGTTCCATTTAAGTAGTCCAGGCAGTTTCCACAAATCAAAAGTCACTTTACTTAGGAGTATTCCTTATTCTCACAATAGCATCTCCAATAATCAGAAAGTAGATAGTTATAGACAGTGGTGGAATTCAAATTTTTTTAGTACCAGTTCTGTGGATGTGGCTTGGTGGGCATGGCAGGGGAAGGATACTGTAAAATCTCCAGTCAGAGGTGGTATCAAAATTTCCACTACCGGTTCTCCAGAACTGGTCAGAATCTCTTGAACCTCCAGAACCTCCTAAAACCTCTGGTTATAGAATAGTGAGTATCACCACAGTCCTCCAGATGAATGTTATTTATTTCTCTTATCAATTTCTTCCCTAAACTTGTAGGGGTATGGTATATTCCATTACTAGTAGATGGTGCCCTCACCTTAGGTTTCAGCATTGTTTCAAGTCTGATAAATTGATTAATCCAAATTTAGTTCAATTTATGGAAGCAAAGTCGGCTATTGAAATAGATTCAAGTAGATAGTTCCAGCGTTTTATAATGCCTTTCCAAAACAATGCCTATCCAGTTTAAAAATCCAATTTTCTATGTTTTAAAAGGTCGTTAGCTTTTCTCTCCTTAGTTCCTTTCTTTCTGGTCTAGGATTTTTCTCTCTACAGTTGTTTGCCACTTTAAGAAATAGTTCTAAGAGTCTCTTTTCCTGGATTTTCCTCTTTTTTTCTCTTAAAGTTAGGGTCTAAATAAAAAAGGAATCTTCTCACCCAGCTCCAGTCACTGTTCATCTATACCACTCCTGCACATTTCTTTGTTGTCTCGGCTGTCCCAGTTTCATGGCAGCCATAATGACTGCCTCTTCTCCTCGTTATGGAGGAGAGGGAAGAAGCCCTGAGTCAGGCAGGAGAGTTGCTGCTCTCCATGACTTACAGGGTGCCCCTCTTTTCTTCACCACCCTTACAGGGTGGCTTTATAGTTCCTCATGTCTGATCTCGCCATGATGTCAGCCAGAAGTCCAGTGTACACATTTTTATACCGCTATCAGTGACAAAACATAAATATTGTCCAAAGAAGAACCTGCTCATCCATTTGGGGGATATTTTTAATAGCTCTTAAAATGTGTTAGTAACAGTGACTACTGTTCCTGTTACCCTCCCAAGTGGATTATTATAATGTGATGAACATGACACTGCTGCTGAAGACCATTCAAAAACTGCAAATCATACAAAGTCCAAAACTCACATATTAACCAAAACCTTATATTCTCATATAACAACAATATTGCAGAAGCTGCAGTGGTTAATGGTTTGTTTCCAGATGCAATTCAAGGGGCTAGTGACCATCAAATCACTCCTATATGGCTTGGGAACTGGCTGTCTTTAAAAACTACCTACTCCCACCAGAATGTACCCACCCAAGCCATGCCTAGGGAGAGTCCACGCTCTATATGAGGTGCAACAAGAAGAGTCTTGGAATCTGTTCAGGAGCTCCTAGTTGTGGGATGCCCTTTCACCAAATATAAGAACAGCATTCTTGCTCTTAACATTCTTAATATAAAGGGCCGTGGTGGAACACTGGTTAGAATGCAGTATTGCAGGCTAATTCTGCTGACTGCCAGTTCAATTCTCACTGGCTCAGCTTTCCATCCTTCTGAGATCGGGAAAATGAGGACCCAGATTGTTGGGAACTATGATGATTCTATAAATCACTTAAGAGGAGGTTGTAAAGCACTTCGAAGCAATATATAAGTGCTAGTACTAGTGCTATTTTGAAAATAATCTTTTTAAATGTGGCTTTTTAGATCTCCATTTGGGATAAGTATGAGAAATGTGCGTAAACTGAGATGAATTTGGTTTTTTGATGTTGTATGTAATGGCAGGATGTTGCTTTTTTTTTCTGAATTTACATTGATGGTATTTATTATTACTATTGTTGCTATATACATTTTACTGTACCATGTTATATGTATTGTACATTATTGTTTAAAGTATTCCACTTGGTATTAAAGTAGCCCACTTAGAATCATGAATCACACAAAACAATTCTAATAAGTAAATCAGTTCATTTTATGTGTTGCCATCTTGAATAATTTGGTATCAACTGCAAGTTGGCCACTTCACCTAATCATCCCTGAGGACAGATTATTTATGAGCCATTTCAAAAGAACAAGCCTGAATAAAGATCCTTGAAGAACCCCTACCTCTACTCAAAATCCTTTTACAGTTATTTCCATTATGCCCAAAGACTTCACAAATGCTCATTCAAAATTTCAAGCCAACATGTTCTATAGTCATTCAGACTGAGATGCTCTAACTTAGATAATTATGTATTTTCTGTTTGATATGAAGAGAAAACAGGCTGTACACACCTGCAGTGAAGTATTTACTAGCTGAAGTGATGGGTTTTCCTTCTGTCTTGATGTTCTAAAGGAAAACAACCCATAGCATGAGAATAACTATGACACACACATACTCTCAACAGCCTATCTATAGTCTATAAGGGCATAATGACAGTTCCTTACACTTCATTATTCTTTCGGTCTAAATCACTGTGGAAATCAAAATCCTGACCCTCAAACAGAAAACTTCTATGATGCCTGTGCTTAAAACAGATGTCATCTTCCTCATGGCAAAAAGAATTATTACCATCCCAGGATGAGGCTGCTGTTGTATTTATAATGTTCAAACCACCTGAAGGTATCCATTCTTCATCTGCATCCTCTCCATACCAGATGTCAGCATCAGCAGACCAGCTGCAATCACAAAAGCAGGTCAATATTAAAAACACAAGGTAAAGCTTATTTCCATGGGACAGATTATTCTTTTCACTATGCACTTGCACTGCACATAACCATTTTTTTTTTCCAAAATGGCATCTTTTCATCTGTTAAGGCAATTCTGCATTGAGCCCAAAATAATTATTTCCCTTGCTGGTCTCAGCCATTTTCTGAGCCAGCTTCAGAAATTCTGGACTATAGCGGACTGACAATAGGATTGGACTGATGCTCAGTGCAAGCAATGGCCACTCCAATGGCCTCCCTTTGCTGCTTCCATTATTCATTCTTGCAGAGAAGGTAAGCCAAATTGGGCTGGCTCCCACATGGACCAGTTTACCTGTGACCATATTTTCCTTTTAGGGCTTGTTCCCTCTCTTCTCTCCTGGCACTTTTTCTCTGCTTCGCCATATGTTTGCAACATGGATGTCTTCACATAACATATCCCCTTCCCATATTCATACCCTGGACCATAAATTAGACCATTTTTTTTCCTTTTCCTCCTTTTCCTACTATTGTTCTGCTTTGTAGAAATGAAGATTAGTTTCATATAAATGAAATAATATTCCTATTGTAACTTAAAGATTTTTTTAAAAGGAAAAAAAAAACAGGAGAAAAAGAGAGGAGACTTTGGACAACCCTGGGCAGGTACTGGAATGCAAGAGTAGCATGTTATACCTGGCCTGAGCAGATCTTGAAAGGGTAGCCACTGAGAGAAGTAAACTTCATTGATTCAATGGGCAATTGCTTTATTGACTGAAATATTACTAAAAAAAATGTGAAGAATATTGCAGCCTGGAAATCTAGGGTTCAATGCATAGGGCAGCAACCCTAAATTGGAAGTGAGGAGACACACCTGATATTGCAGCCAATCAGAGCTGGAGCTGCCACTAAAATGGAACAAAGTGCTGGAGTCTTATCTGAAAGGCATAATATCCCAGAAAACTGGAAAACCTGGTAGGGTTGAATTTATAATGGCGTGGATTGGAAGGGAGATGCTGTTATCTATTCCTGTAACAGACGGGCCTTATTAAAGATGGGTCAAACCCAGTGGTGGTATTTAGCCGGTTCGCACCGCATCGGGTGAACCGGTAGCAAGAATTTGGCATGGGTCACCAAACCGGTAATAAGTTCTGGCTGGCCACACGCCCTCCCACCCGATGCTCGCTCACCCCACCCACCTGACGTTCGCCTAAGCTATTTCTTTGTTTTTTACCCTCCCAACAATCAGCTGTACATAGATCAGCTATACCAGGATTCCCCTTGCTGAGGCCCACGAAGGCAAAAAATGGCTGAACACCCCCACTCCATTTTTTTGCCTTCCTGAGCTTCAGAGGAGCCTTAGGGGAGCAAAAATGCCCCCCGGAGGCTCTTCTGAGGCCAGGAAGCTCCCCAAAAAATGGGTGGGGGCTACAAAAAAGCAAAAAAGCCACGTCCACCCAGTCACATGGCCACGCCCACAGAACTGGTAGTAAAAAAATTTGAATCGCACCACTGGTCAAACCAAACGTATGGACCTTAAATAACTAGGAATGACTGTTTATTCTATATATTAAACATTTCAGGGTTTCTGGGCATTCTTACATTTCAACTTCCTCCCCAGTCAGATATAAAAATCCATGTTCTCCTCAGTTATTTTGTAATGTTGGACTTATGCTTCTTACCTATTTTTGGAATTCTTCCGCTTGGCTCTGATGAGAAGAATAACAAGGATGATACTGACCACGAAGAGCACAGCCAGGGCAAGACCAATGCCCAGGGCGGTCTTTTGGACAGGCATTTGGCAGTAACTATCCAGGTACAAGAATATGTCCAAATTATTGCAACTATGGGAAAAAGAAATGAATTGATAAAGAAGGGTCTCTTTCTTTTTAATTTTTTTTATTTTACAGTATTTATATGCTGTGCACTTCAGAAGGTTCTGGGTAACTCCCAATAGAAAAGCTTCATTAAAAATTATAAAATTAAAATAATAAAAAAAACAAAAACAAAAACCAAATAATATAATACCAGTAGGCATCAAACCACATTTTTCAAGACCTGTGCTGATGTCAAATTTCTGCAATCTATCTTCTGGTATCTGATGTAAGAGGATGGCCTTCACCTAGTTTTGGAACATTAATAAGGAAAGAGCCATCCTAACTTCTCAAGATCGTAAAATAGAATTCCAGAATTGAGATAACTATGGAAAAAACATCCAGCTTTTCTGTCAACATCCAGACCATCTAGAGCAGGGGTGGGCAAACTTTTTGGCTCGGGGGCCTCATTGACTTTTAAAATTTGACAGACGGTCCGCCACCTGGTGTCAAAATGCCTGTCATTACAAGTCAAAATCAAATGAATGCAATCATTCAATCATTCACATCAAACCTTAATTCTGTACCAATCTTCGGCGGGCCGGATTAAAAAGACCAACGGGCCGGATGTGGCCCGCGGGCCGTAGTTTGCCCACCCCTGATCTAGAGAGAGCAACTCAATCTAGATACATTTCCAAATAGAGTGCATAGGTTGGAAAAGTCTGTTTTGAGGAAATAGGCTTGTAGAAATTGAGGAACCAAACCATAAACAGCTTTGCAGCCAACAACAAAGTACCCAGAAATATACCAGGAATCAAAGCAAGGTTTGCAAGATGTCTGGGATTTTACTGAAATAAACTGGGCATATCAGTAAGCATTCTGTTGCATTTGGGGCCAGTTCTACTTTCCAAATAATCTCCAGAGTCAGACCCAAATACTGAAAAGAGCATTACTGTGATCCAGGTATGAATGCTCAAGAAACAATATTTTGCATAAAAACTTCACATGTTCTTTTTGCAGGAGCTGTGAGGCAGATCGTGTCATCTGCTATCCCCAAGGAGAGTTTGAGATGCCCTAACTAATGTCATTGAATGATTGTCTGCTGATACATGAAGCCTGGAGAAGTAACAACACCTTTCTTATTGCACCGTGGAAGCAGAACTTTGGGTTCATACCCAGCTTTAGTTGTGCTGATTCTTAATTTTATGTCTTCAGTGTTCTGAATCTCTTGTGTTGAACCATGAAATCCTCCTGAGTCTGCATATAGGGAGAAGCCATTTGGAAGCAATTTCTTTCAGGACTTTCACCAAATCCTTTTTAGGGAACTCAAAGAGTCACTATGGAACTATTCTCACAGTTATTTCCAAATTTCTGTTGGAAACCCACAGATCCTTAGGGAAGATTCTAATTGATCCTCCATTCTGCACCAGTTGGTTGCTTGGACAGCTTCCATGTAATCAGAAAATAATCTGTGCATGACACAGACAGACAGAAAAATTATCCATACATGGATCATAAAAATCAGGTGGAAGAGTACCCAATTATAATTAGTAACTATTCAAGATTTAAGTAGTGGGTTGTAGAATCTAAGGACTCCTTCGATACTACTCCTCCTCCTCCTCCTGTTTACTTACATGCAGTGGGGACCAATTCCAGAGAGTCGGCAAACTCCATTGAAGCAGTTCATGGAATCTTGAGTGCCGTTGATACATCTTGAGACACAGCGCACAGTACCGTCAATTATGTGGGGATAATAGTAGTCTGCATACATCGGATCAATAATATTTTCACAGGTGCCTGGGGAACAAAAGAGGTGCTAAATATATAATGAAATATGGGCAATACATGTAGGTCAAACTGTACTACAACTGATGACTGAAGTGCAGCAAATTTGCTCAGACATAGCAAGACCATCCTGTTCCTGCGCCAACTGCCCATGTACACTACAAAAGCAGTTTTGAAAAATATCCTTCAATGGTAGAAAATAAAAGATAGCAAGATGAACAAGAATGAGTTGTCATGATGGAACAACAACTTCAGAGATAGAGAGAATCGAGATGATTGTAAGAACTGAAAAAATTATAGGTAGGACAGCTCTGCAAGGAAGCACTAAAATTCTATTACAAAACAGATGTGGGAACTGAAAACTCATCTTTTCCATCTTTCTTTGGGCTCTTCCTCGTGTCCTTCTAACCACAGTATAAATGAGTCCTTATAGAATATCTTTAGCTATTTTTTTTCTTCAGTCACTATACTTATAGTATACCAATATTTCTAAACTTCTTGGGAGAGAGATTTTTTGCTGCACAGAAAGTCAATTTAAATTGGAAAAAGAAAAAACATGTAGCTGCTTTGTATTGCTATTGCTTTATCGCTCTTGTACGCCCTAGAAATGTTTTTGCTATTTTTGGCAACAAATAGTTTCACATTGGCATACTTTTTACTTGTTTCAGTAGTTTCACATTGGCATACTTTTTACTTGTTTCCTTGTTTCAGTAGAAGCACAAGAAGACACAGAGGGAGAGCTGCATCCCATACCTCTACTGCTCTATAGCAAGAAGGACTGAGGGTTCTTTTCCTGTATAAGGATAAACTTGATAGGAGATGAAATGAAACCAGGGAATCCACCAATCCCTTTCCTTAACTTGTCCTACATTTAACAAGAATGACTGCATCATGGGCAGGCCTTACCACTGTCTGTGTTGGGTCTACAATTTATGCCCATAAATTTTTCTGCTGGCTCAAGGATTAGCACTTTAACATAAACGAAGAACATAAATTGCAATATCTGTTAGCATGACCTACACAACTTTTTCTTCATCTTCACTTTCTGTCATTGCCTCACTGCTAATGTTACAACTGGACATATAGGAGTTGGAGAAGACTTGATTGATTGAGTGAGTGAATGACTGAGTGAGTGAGTGCAGTGGTGGGATTACAATAATTTAACAACTGGTTCTCTGCCCCAGTGACCGGCTGGGTAGGCGTGGCTGGGTGATCATGTGACTGGGTGGGTGTGGCCAACTCAACATCATTCACGTCAATGGGTGCTTCATCTCACCTGGCCTCTCCTTGCCATGCCCAGTCCAGCCCCGCCTTGCCCATCCCTTCCAGCCACTCCTTGTCACACCCGGCCACTCACTTTGCTTGCATTTGCAAATAAATAACAAATATCTTGACTTCAGGTTTGATGCATCCTACAACTTCCCATTACTTCCCATTCTCGTATTACTTCCCCTTCTAGTCTCCCTTCCTACTAACAGATCTATCCCAAATTGTAATTTGCTACAACCTCTCTCATTTTTTTTTGCATCATTCTATGGGAGATTATTCTGAAATGTTATCTGTGATATTTGCAGCTTTACAAGTTTGTTTCCTCCAATCCTGTTTTCGCATACGATTTTTACAAACAAAGTAGCCATTAAGGTGCTGGCCCAGAAACTAAGAAACTCTGAGTTCTAGTCCCATGTTAGGCTTCAAAAATGGCTGAATGACCGACCAGTCACTCTCTCCCAGCCCAAATCACTTCTTTGACTGTGGTTTTGGCAAAAGGAGGAGGAAGGAATATTAGATAAGTTCTCCACCTTGAGTTCCTTATAAAGAAATAAAGACAGGCTAAACATCTAACAATATCAATCAATCATTTGTGAGAATGATGTCCTTCTAAAGAAGAAGGAGTGCTGACTGCCTTGTCATATGCCTTACACGACAGCATTTATTTCATTTTTCTCCACTTAATTTTTTCTATTTTTTTTATTCAATGATGGCATAGCTTGTGAAATTCTTACCTGTCTCACATGCCAGGATTATGTGGGAAAACATCAGGTAACTACATCCATGTGATTGACTCTGACAGACAATGACAGCAGAAATCACTAAACAGCTACATTAAGACACAAAGGTGGAGGCACCTGAGACAGCCACCTTTCATCAAACTGGTACGACCTAATCAACTACAGAAAGGTAGGAAAGTCATCCATTCCTCTTTTATATGCTTTTTAAGGGGTGGGATTCTACCGGTTCTGTCCGGCTCTGTAGAACCGGTAGCTCTGAAGAGCAGCAGACACCGAAACGGTTCTGTGTTTGCTGCTGTTTGGCCCACCCGCCCACCCGGGCTCTTACCTGTCCTTTATTTCCTGCTTTTTCAACCTCAGCTGCTTTGAGCGGCACAGCTGCGGTTGAAAAAGCAGGAAAAAAGTGCTGTTTGAAACCCTGCGCACCCGTGCGCAGCATTGCTCAGCTATCCGGGCAGCACAGCTGCCACATGCGCGCGCAAAGTGCATATGCGCATGCAAAACATAAATCACCGAACCGGTAGGTACACCGGTCAGATCCCACCCCTGTGCTTTTTCCATTGGAAATTTTGAGATTGTTTCGAACTGACAGTGCAAAAATTGCCCCAGCTCTACAATACTGGTGATCTTTTTAATCTTTCATTTTTTTATCTAGAGAACTGCTGACAGGATTTAAAAAGCAAATTCAACTATGTCCTCTTTTTCCATTTAATCAATTTTGCCAAACAACTCCTCAATTCACAATAAAATAGTGCTCACAAGTCACAATAAAATAGCACAATAAAACAGCACTCTTCCAAAAACGAGGAGGTCCATCTGTTTTCCAAAGCACCAAAAGGCATAATAAGAAACAATGGATGGAAACTAACCAAAGAGAGAAGCAACCTAGCATTAAGGAGAAATTTCCTAAGCGTGAGGCCAATCAACCAATGGAATAGCTTGCCTTCAGAAGCTGTGGGTGCTCCATCACTAGAGGCTTTCAAAAAGAGTGAGGAAAGTACACCCAGAGGTGGGATTCAGTCAGTTCTCACCGGTTTGGCCAAACTGGTTGTTAACTTTTTACATCGTTCGGCTAATCCCACCACTGGCTGGCCCAGTCCCACCCACCCCACTCTGCCCCTCCCCTCCCAGCCACTCCTTATCTCACCTCACTCGCACGCCTAAAGTCACACCCACGGCCCAGCTGCTCTCTGGCTGCTCTCTGGTTCCCTCACCTGTTTGCCTGCCTTCATTGCTCACCTAGACCAGGTGGCACCCACGGTACAGGCTCAGCTGATCTCTGCTCCTCACCCACCTTCGCTCCTTGCCTGGACCATGCGGCGCCCATGCAGGTGAGAGGGCAAAGAGCCGCAGAGCAGCTATACTGCGGGCACTGCCTGGTAGTCCAAGGGCGAAGGCAGGCAAGTGGGCAAGGAGCTGGGGAGCAGCCGAGCCATGGCTGCCGTGTGGTAGGCACCTGCAGCCCAGCTGATTTCCAGCTCCTCACCCATTTGCCTGCGTTCGGCCCTGGCCTACCATGCAGCCCCTGTGGCTCAGCTTCTCTCTGGATCCTCACCTGCTTGCCTGTCTTCACCTGCCTTTGCTGCTTGGCTAGAAAGTTGCTGTCTCACATGTACAAAGGGGCCAAGTTGGTGTTTTTCTCCCCTCCATCTTTTGGGCTGTTTTAGTAAAAAAAAAAGGCTGGGAACTTAAAGCCAGGCATGCCCGGCAGCCCCCTCTTTGCCCACCTCCACCGGCAGCTCTGGGTTGGGCAGCGTTTCAGCTTTCCTGGTTGGCTACGCTTGTCATCCCTGCCTGCCCCTCCCTTCCTGCCGCAGCTGGTGGCAGAGAGGAAGATGAGCCAGGTTGAGCAGCCTCTGCTTGCTCGCCCTTCCCCCTCCTGCATCTTGCCCCAACTTGGACTCTCTGCAGTTGCTGGGCCTTGCCTGCCGTGGCTGCCAGCAGATAGGGGCAGCCGGGGGGTGGGGGGCGAAGTTACACCACCCTGATCGCCCCTTTCCCACCTGCCCACCCAGTCAGGTTGTGGGAATGCCTGGCCTCCCAGCCACCTCCAGCTCTATGGAACGGCAGCAGCAGGGAACATAGGATCACTTGGCAGTGGGGAGGCAGAGAATGAAGGGGGCAGCTGCTAGCAGAGAGGGGAGAGTGTGAGATTGGTGCTTCTGGGATGAGGGGAGCTGGGAAGCCTCTGGGTCCTTTTCACCTGGTCTCTCTTCCTCTCGCAGCTGCATGACCTCCGACCGGCATGGATGGCAACTACAGTTTTAACATGTGTTGCCAGTGCTTCTGCCAGTATGCCCAAGGACATAGGCTTCATTAAGATGAGGAGGAGGGCAGCTGTGTAGGCCCCAGCCGTGCACTTTGGTTGCCCACTGCCATGGCTGGCTGACACACCCTTTGTTTCCCAGAGTTCCCTGGCAATACCCATGACATCTCCTCACTCTAATAGTCATGTACAGGTTAGGGAAGTAAATCTGAAAGCATGTGTAATGTTCTAATGTACAAAAGTTATAGTTAAATGTATGGCAGAAAGTGGATTCTAGGTGTGTTTTTCCAAACTCAGTAACTGAGGTTGAATGTGTATAGTTTTAGAAGAGGTCTGTGTGTGTGTGTGTGTGTTTGTGTGTATGTGTGTGTGTGTGTGTGTGGATACACATACAGTATATATAGTATCTAATGTATCTTTTTGTGTGCCTATACGGACTCTATACCCATGATGGCGAACCTATGGCATGCATGCTGGAAGTGGTACACATAGCCATTTTTGCCAGCATGTGAGCCGTCATCTGGAATAGATTGACTGTGCATGCATGCGCGCCTCCCGCCAGACAGCTGATTGTCAGGTATCTGCCGCACATGCCTTTGAGGCGTTTGAGGCAAGTGGCCAGGATGTGGGGCCTGATGTGGTGAGTGCTGTCAAGTTGACCACACCCACCCAGTCACATGATCACCTGGCCACACCTACCTAGTCAATCATTAGGACAGAGAACCAGTTGTTAATTTATTTGAATCCCACCACTGAGTACACCCCAAAAGGACAGTGCCAGGAACCACTAACACAATGCAGAAAACTTAAAACAGCCATTCCCTTAAAAACAAACCCATAGCAAAAGCACCAGCTGAGAGGGAAACTAAGAACAGCCGCTCGGGCTAATTGAAAGCCTGGACATTCTGCCAAAAGCTATTAACCCTTCCAACTCTATTATTCTATGTTATCTATATTCTAAATTGGGTGCTTCACAGCAGAACAAATACAGCTGGCTGGACCACGCACTAAATTCACAGCCTGTATGATCAAGCTGCATCATTGTCTTCTCCTGTATTTTTCCTCCCAGGAAGAAACAAGAAGTAGCCAACACTACAGCCACTATAAAAGGCCTTGGGGAACTCCAGGGAGTATCAGCTGATCACAGAAGTGCTACTTAATACTTTTTATAATGAAAATGTTTGTAATATTGTCCTTCTTCCTCAAAGGAAAAGGTTAATGCCATCTCTGTGGGTGATTGCTGGCTTTCCTGGGTATTTCCTACACTAATCCTGTCAGTTTCTGTTGTTTATTTACTTTATTCAAGGCATGTGTTGGCTGTTATCGCAATTAAGTAGCCTGTTAAGTGGTTCTTGGCTGTCTGCCCAGAGCTATTAACTGAAGGGAGAGAAAAGGAAAAAAAACCTCTCTTGCACTTTATTTTCAGCCAGTACTCCAAACTGCACAAGCAGTTAGCTACCGGTTCAGGTGAACTTGTGAGAACCGTCTGAATCCCTCCACTGAGTGAATGACTGAGTGATTCTTCGTGGATTTGGCCTGGTTCCCCATGATTGAATTATGGGACTGACACTACAAGTTGACATAAAGTAATTTGATGAGATGGATTGATTTGATTGATGGATTGCATCTCTATATTAACAAATCTTCTAGGGACTTTCATTTATATGTGAAAAGCCAACGGTTTAGATATCCGTGGTACTGTTAAGCAATTATACATTTAAAATGTGGATTGAACAATTTCGTACTTTGAAAATATAAATCATAGTCCCAATAATCTTGACACATCTACCCAATTGTTTACTGAAACTTACCATTGAATGAATAACTTGAACCAAGAATTAAGTTAGGTAAAGGAACAAAGCATAGTTCTGATCCTGAAAAAAAAAATTGTATGAATTAGTTATCTGGGGTGGTTGTATAACTGTATATTTCCTTCAAGATTCTTCTGCAGTAAAAACATTGTGATATTAAATAGAAACCATTGCACCAAAATAATTATCTTTTTGAAGTAATCTGGGGAAAATAAATCATCAAATGATATGTCAAACATTCATCAGTGTCTAAGTTTAAGGTTTTAAAAAGTCTTTTGTTGCCTGACAAGAGTCCCAGTTTCCCAGGCTTCAATCATTTACAAAGCTATCTTTGTAGCTGCATGGCCAACAATTTTAGTAGGTTCGAAATTGAATGTATGTCTTTGTTCATTGCACTGTGAGGGTACCAATGAGTACAAGTCTCCTTGTCTGACCACTCGCTTGCATTCTTGCAATCTGGTGGTTAGCTTCCTCCCTGTCTGTCCTAAATTGTCGCACACTATATGGCAGGGTGACAACCCACTTTAGTACCCAGAAAGCTAAACAATTGGGACCTACATGAATAATTCAGGCAGAATGGGTACCTACAAGCATTTTTCTAGAAGTGCCTGGTCAGCATGCGATGGAAAGAAAGGAAAAAAGAAGGTACAAGGCCAACTATTTGGCACACCCAAATACATTAAAAACATTTCAGAAGCAGCAGAACACAGATTCCAAGATTTACAAGTGGAATCACACACTGTCCAGAGGCTATTACATGAGGACAAATCCTGCATTACAAAGATATCTTGGAGGTGAGATATACTTCTAATGTAATCTACTGGATCCCCTGCATGGATTGCCCCTGTGACTATGGAGGACAGATGGGAAGTAAGTAAGAATACAAGTAAGCAGTCAGATGAGGATGCCAAACTCATGGATAGCCTTACATTGCAATGAACAATGTCATACATTCAAGTTCAAAGCTACTAACATTGTTGGCCATGCAGCTACAAAGATAGCCAGATAAATGATTGAAGTCTGGGAAATGGGCCTCTTGTCACTCAACAGAAGGGCTGATTTACCACTAGCTTATCAGGTACTTAAGAACCAAGGGCTTGGCAGCACAAGGAAGCAACAGCCAATCACATGCTATCAACACATCAATCAACCAACCAACAGGGAAACAACAACATATAAATATGACCCATAATATAGCCCACAGCAGAGAAGGCAGCCGATGTTGCAGTGAATCAGTGTGGACGAGCGGTAGTTCCGCGAAGTCCCTCCGATTTCTTCATCCCGGAGGCTCTACAGCAGGGGTCCCCAACCACCGGTCCGCGGACCGGTACCGGTCCGTGGAACAAGTCCTACCGGGCCTCTGGTTTGCTGGGCGCCGCCATCTTTTTTTGATGAAAAAGTGCTTCCGGTGAGCTTTTCCGGGTAGAAAGCTCACCGGAAGCACTTTTTCATCAAAAAAAGATGGCGGCGCCAGCGCTTCCGGTGAGCTTTTC